GCTTTCAGGTCGAGGAATAAAGCGTGTAATTTACCGGCAATAAAAGGGCAGTAGTAATGGCCGCGCGCGCGGGAGAAGTACAAAGAGAAGCGTATCACTGTGTGCGCCGTTAACGACGTCGTTTATTGCCGCGAGAAACGAATATTTTGTTACAACTCGACGGGACCCGCTTCGATTCGCGGCGCGACGGATGTGCGCTCAGAGCGAAGCGGTCGCACGAGGGGCCACGCTTTATTGCCTCCTATTCGATAAAAGTACAATATAAGAGCCAAGAGAAGCGAGCTTTCGGACTAAGCGTTTTAAGGACTATCGCACTGCAAAAGTGTCGCCGGTGTCTGTGAAAGGGCGCCTTTTTCTCCCGCGCTGCGTCGCGATAATTGGATCCCGAAACGACGACCCTTCGTCAGTTAATGTGCGTAATCGCGGATAATGCGTGCGATAATCCGCGCTTACAGCGCTAATTTTCTCGCGTGACATCAGCGAAGGATTACACGAGGAGGTGCGGACTTGAGCGTGACGTGTAACGGAAAGACATAATATATGCATTAGCTCGCTCCTCCTTTCCCTGTTTTTTATTTATTTATTGCTATATATTTAATTATCAACTTTTACTATTTTTTATTAATTGAGCGTTGAAGACTTTACACGTTAAAGACTGTATCATTCTTCGACGAGAGGCGCGCTCGAGTGCACCAGCACGAATCGGCCTGTCGACTTACATAGTAGATCAGTTGGCGCAACGCATCTAAAAAAATATACAACTTCCGACTGTCATGTCCATAAAGATGGTATCGGCGCGTAGGTGCTGAGCCGTTCGGTGATGTCTTATTACACTGGGGCGGTTATTTACGACCGTACGCGGGGTCCGCAGAGAGAAAGGTAAGATGTGGAACGAGAAGAAAAAACTGGCTGTCGGCGACGAGAGTTAAATCCCTCCGACGCTGTCGTGCATTTGCAAATTGAAATGTATTTGTCCTCGATTCTAATATACTCTCAGTGACCTGATCGCTGCTGAAGAAAAACAGGAAGCACTTTTATTTGCACGATATTAATTGTGGTGATGAGTTGCGTCATTATTTTATGTTATCAATCTTCGATTCTTTATCTCTTTTTTACGATTGTAAATTATAATTATATTGGCAGTGGAAACAAGCCAATGAAAAGTGCGACTTGAAGTTAAATGTTATCCGCGTAATCGATCAATGTGACATCAAAAAATTGATGCAATATAATTTTATATTTTACACGCCGTGTACGATGCACAGAAGCACTCTTAATGTCACGTGATAAAGCCGCGGACATATCGATTTTTTATCGACGCGCTCGCATTTGAAGAGACGCTGCGGGAAATTATTCTTTTTCTCGCGCCGCGTCGGACTGTACAACCTGTCGAGATAACGAGGCAATTCTCCGGCAGTGCAACGACAATCTTAATGATAATTTTATACCAAGAATTATTGCCCGGTCGTAATAAGCAGGCGTCACAGGCGCGCCTCGGAGCGTCACTGCGCGTCGCGTCGTGCTCGTAGCTCGAGTGTGTCGCGAAGATGAAGATAGCCGGAGCGAATTCATTAAAACGATTGTTAATTACGGTCTCGAGTGACACACGGCCCGAAGGGACGGAACGGCAGCTGCCACTCGAGCAGCAGAGGAACCAAAGAGGGAGGGGGGGGGGGAAGAGTGGGCCCCGATTTTACAACTCGTGCCGTTTCCGGCGCACGCGATACACCACTACGTGTAAATTAGCAAATGAGCTCGTGTACACCGATAGAGCGTGTGTAAAATCAATAAAGCCAGAAGGATCAAGGAGCGTTCTTTCGCCAGGAAACCTCTCACGGAGAGAGAAAAATAAAGGAATTCATTGTGCAAATCGGCGCGTTGTTATCGCAACAGCGAAATCACCGATCTGATTAAACTTGTTGCCCGCGCGCGAATAATTAAGCGGCGCGTATTTGCGAAAGGAAGAAAGCGGAAGGTGCGCGGCCTCGTTAAGGGATCCTATCCTATTGCTCGTTAAGGGATTATTCGATAAACCGTCGAAAAAATCCCCGCCCGAACGTTTTACGATCGCGAGCCATTAATGTCTCGCGTTGCCGTGCCGGCATGCACGCGCGGATAGTCAGACAGTCGTAATAATGATAAAGATCCAGCTATGCGGCGGCACGTCAGTCTTTCGTTGCAACGAGGGGCGAAAGGTGAACCTGGAAGAAGTGGCTTCAGCAATGTGGATTTGCTTGTCGCATACGTGCATTTTCTCCGCTGATTTTCCAACTCAGCTTGATTTAGCTGGCGAATGAATAATGTTTACGGCTGCGTTGTAGAAAAATGAAAGACACATTCCAACGAATAAATCTCTTTCTAGAGAAATTCTTCTTCTATTTTTACAAGTTGCAGCCTCGTGCTAAATTATGTCTTTATCCAGCTGCTAAAGGTAAACTGTAAAATTTTACATAATTCTAAAATATTCGAAGAACTAACTTGCTTCAGTTCATAACTAAACATTCGTTATCGGTGTAATATCAACACCGCTGTCGGATCGATGAAGTTTGAAGTCCTTGTTCGCGTGTAACTCGAATGTGCAATAATTCCGACGGATATCCCGTAGGATCTATCCCCGAAGGAGGGCGAGGATGGGATTATCTCGAAACGCGAAAACGCTCTTCGGCGTATCTCCCAGAGTTCCAAGAGGAGAGAACTTTGGCGCCGAGGTATGTCGCATTCACGCCGCAATATCGATTGTATCGCACGATCGGTTCACCCGCAAGAGTCGATGGAAATTGTTGAGACGTTTTTTAATTGCAGTTTAAACGGATTCACGAATGTTCTACTCTGGAAAAATACCTATTGAATTTGCACGTGAAATTCAAATGGAGCAAAGAATAAATAAAAATCCCGTGAACGTCGAATAAGATTTTTCTTATCTCCGAAACTACATAAAGAAGATAAATTTTATTATTATTACTCGCGTAAAATCGCGGCGCATTTCGTTAATGTAGTTTGAAGAAAATTATGCGACAAGTATTATCGTGAATTAGAAAGAAAGATACTTTGACACATTTTACGAAGATAATCTTCCTCCGAGCGATACTCGAGAGGCGATAAATCGTCGGGCAAAACCGATTTGCCCGGCGTTGATTCGCCGTTCGTGCGAAATAATCGCACGGAGGAGAGGCACCTTCGCGTCCTCGATAAGACAAGAACCTTCGATAATCTGCCAATGAAACTGCGGGCAAGAAACCCGACGCCACCTACGTGCACCAGCAGTTTTAGTGCGTGCCGAACTCGAAGAGCTAGGCTGCTGCGATCTAATCCTATTTTCGTTAGATCCGTTAATGGTTAATGGGAGGCAAAGTGGTCAGCGACCGGAACAAGGGCTAAGTCCGTCTTAAATCCCGTAGGAGGAGGGAAACCCTTGTAGCCCTTAGCCAAGGACCGTAATCCGCATGGGATAACTATTGGCTGCGCTGTTGCTTCGCCGAGGCGAAGTCAAACTGTGCCGAGTGCGCGGGAAAGTTTTAATTATTATCGACAGCCAGGCATTCCGTAGTCGCCGAGCAAAAGGATACACTTATCCCGCGGAACTTGGAATACCTACGCGCGCTTTGATAATTGGAGTAACACGTTTTCGCAATTTAACTAAATTAATTATTTCAATTACGATAATCTGAGTTATTTTCAACTATATTATTTGCAAAAAATCGCGGAGGATGTGAGATATATATATCGTTAAATCGTATCGGACTGGGCACTGGAGATTAAATTAGAGATTGGAATTTATTTTATCAGCGCAAAGCAGAAAGATTGAGATTGCTCGAATTCTAATCTCCATTGTACAGTCTGATGCGGGCTTCAGCATTGGCAGACAATTGAAATTCAGCGGAAGGAGTCTCCCGCGAAGGACCCGTGCCCGGAGGACAGGACTAACCTCGCCGGGTATATACTTAATCATTATTCAGCTGTAATATGCAAGGGTAGAAACAACAATATTCTCGTTACCCGCGGGTCAGCGCCCCTGCGGCGTCTGCGTCTCGCGGCGGATCTTCTCGTAGGCAAAATAGTGCAACATCGGGATTAATGAGGATTAGGGTGCGAAATTTATGAAACTCGAGTCCGTTTCGAGACCGGCGACGAGCGCTCGGAGAAGTCCCTTTGAGAAATACGAAACGGCGATCGGCACACGCAAAACCGAGATCGCGCGCGTGTAATTAAGATCGAGCGGCAAGTTCCTTCCGCAAAATCTCTCCGGAGCGGGGATAACGCGCGGAGACGCGCGGAGCGCTGCCGGGGATATCGCGATGCAAATAAGAGAATACCAGACGCGCGAGCGCCTCAGGGCTGTAAATTACCGAAATAATCCGGCGGTTAATTCCCACCCGCGCTTTATTACCGCTCTTGATCCGTTAAAATTAAATTCATAAATACACGCCAATCTCTCTCGCGCCGGTCTCGAGACCCTCCCCCCCATCTCCGTCTCGTCTCTTCAGATGCCTCACGCGCGTCACTCTCGTCTACGGCGCGCCTACGCCAGTTTAGATATTTTAAGCGAGTCCGAAAAGAAAGGGCTGGTGGTTCCGTAGGCGCGCAGCTAGGCGTCCGTGTACGAAGTGAGTTGTAACACGAAAACTACATTATACTATTCAAACGATTGCGGGCCGCGCCGGGCAAGTTGACATTGTTGTTTCTGAGGGTCGCCTGAGGGCTCTGCGAATATCTTAGCGTCGAGCGTACGTAGCTACGTAGAGATATCCGTACATACATTTGCGCGGACGTATACGTATATTTATACGTATACACATACATCTGTGTGTACGTGCGTGTATACCACGTCGTGGTACAAGCCCTCGGGGGTTGTGAACGCTATACCGCAACCTCTCTCTCTCTCTCTCTCTCTCGTCTTCCTGCGACCGTATATACTAATCAATAACCATGAATCGCTCCGGTAACAGTGCTATGCACGTTCCGTTGCACCGTTATTGTTACTATGCGAGTACTCACGCCACCGTGAAAATTATTATCGCTGACGATCCTAGGTCCGCTCGAGCCCGCGACGCGATATCGTCCGTTGTCCGTCCGGCGAGGAACTCGTAAATCGTGACGAGCGCAATCCTTGGTAATGTAGTTGCCGGGTAACAGCGCTAAATAGGACGGCTAAGAGATGGACGTGTGCGATACGCATTCCGACTAATGACGCAAATATTCTGAAACAGTATGATAATTTCGCCAAATATTAATTACATTTTTTGTATTCATAATCGAGTATTAACGCAGAAGGGCTTCGACGGCAATTAGCATAGAGATATAAAGTGTGCCTTAATTCGCTTGCTTATATTTCCCCGTCAGACTTGGAAATGAAATTGACCGACGGACAGTTCTCATCATTAATTATCATCTGCGAGTATCTGCTGCGGTCTCACCCGCAGCGATGAAGAAGTCAGGGCAGGGCAGAATCTTGTTTCGCGAGCGACCGAATACGGCCGCTAAAATTAAAGATATAATTCTCGGTTTATGAGCCGGGTCGCGATTAGGGCTCGTCTAATTGACATAAGAATGATAGAACGGGCGCGGGCCTTTATAACCGAATGGCGCGAGCGCCGGGATCATTTCCTTGCGAGAAAAGCGTAAAGCGCTTTTCACCGCGGCTAATATTAATCCCTGCAATTTTAATGCTCACGACCCCGCAGCCAAATTTCAATAAGGTCGTCCCTTTCCCACGGCAAGGAGCGCCGGGCTCGCATAATTGATTTCCAGTTCTTTTACATCGCGACAAACTTTTCCAGCCGCCTGCGGAGGGCCATCGCTAACGCAAGAAATGTGTAAGATTTGAAAAAGATATTCCGCAAATGGTGTGGAACTTCGAAAGATTAAAATTTATACTACAAATGATATAAATCTCGAACGCATTTATTTTCCAGTAAATTGCGCTGTGTATTGATTAAAAAAAAAATGATTGAATTTTTTTCATTAATTCAAACTTTTTCTGAACACGTAATTTTCCGCGGAGTGCAATGCACCTCGCGATCGGAGATCACAGGGGCAACGCTTTCGAGAAGGACGTTCACCGAGGCAGATTTGAAAGGCGTTTTCGCGAATGAGAGAAAGATAAGCGAGCGGGCAGAGTAATCGTTAAAGCATTTCGGAATCAAGTCGATCCGAAATAAGCCTCGGGGTGGATACAAGGGCTGGTGTTTCGTCGACGACGATCTCTAATAAAGTTCAATTATCCCCGGAAACGTTTGTGCGAGCGACGGAGGAGAAATGAAGGGCGGCGGGAGGGGAGAAAGAGCAGAATGTAGAAGATACGGGAAAGGGGAAGACGCGGGACGGGAATGGAAGGTATCCAGGGCCGTTGAGAGAAAGAGAAACCGGGAGAGATGATAATCTAAACGATCGCAAAGTGGGCTGCAGAAACGCGCCGAAATTGGCAATAACAGGGTGGCGAGGGGATAACGGGGGCTAAGAGAGGGAGGGGGGGGACGAGCGGACGGACGGGAGGGGAGGGGGGGGGGGAAGCACAGCGCGCGCGGTGTATATACCACGGGGCCCCGGCGCGAACTTCCTATTCTGGTTAGCATTCAAATTGAATCTTCGTGGCGGCCGGTCGTGAAGAGTTACCACCGTTAATGGACCTCGCAAACGCTCTCAAATTGCTGGCAGACTGCTGAGACGACGTGCCCCTACCTAATCTACCGGCTTGATTCTCCGTCAGGCTCCGTCTTTCTCTCTCTCGCTCTCTCTGTCTCTCTGTCTCTCTCTCTGTCTCTCTCTCTCTCTCTCTCTCTCTCTCTCTCTCTCTCTCTCTCTCTCTCTCTCTCTCTCTCTCTTCTCTCTCTCTCTCTCTCTCTCTCTCTCTCTCTCTCTCTTTCTTTCTCGTCGTTACTCCGGCCTGAACGTATGTCGCGAAACTTTTTGGATCCACGACGAAAGCCACGGGTACGGGAAATAATTGCTGCTAATGCGACGGTAGCGTATATACGAGCCTGCAGAAGAGTCTTTTAAAAGCTTGCGAAATGTGATAAGCGGGTTAAACGCTGTTTCGAATTATATTAAACTCCCCCGATGAGATGTGAAAACGTACGAAAATTGGATGTATTATAAATCAGATCGATAGAAATCTTAAGTAAAGCGCGTTTTCTCTCCTCCCAAAGTTTTGTTATCTGTAATCGATGATTTCAAGTTTGTCCCATTTTGCACTACCTACTTCCAATTTTTCGTTAACGGCGCAACGAGAAGTCTGTGAATCATTTCGCAACGGTCCCTTTCTCCTCCGATCGGTGGCGAGCTGACGTGCGTTAAAAATTGCGTGACTCATTGCCCGCCAATGTGTGTAATTCGAGAAGCGAACGAGCCAGAAGAAAGAACCCGCGGGGCCCCTTCATATCGCGTTGGTTTTCTTCCGTTAAACCGAATTAGCCCGCTTGATTTGGAGCCCGGAAACCTTTTATCGTATTACCGTCTCAAAAGTCGATTTCGTCGACCCTCCTAGCTTCGAGGAGATACCATTTTTTTTTTTTCGCGCAATTTTGAGACGTTACGCGTGCATTTGCGTATTCGTTCCTTAATTTTCTCATTTATATGCTCGCGCTTTACTTCAACGCGTCGGTTTCGCCACAAGAGTGATTGAAAGCTGGTCACTATGTTGCCGCGTTATGGCGTACAGCTTTCTTAGCGCCGCTCAACGAGTTTCTGGACTCGTCCTAACGACCCTGCAGCAGAGATTCGAAATGGCTAATTTAGCGCGGTGGCTCCCACGGGAACGGGGGAGTTCCGCAAGTCGTGAGCGCAAGTCGGAGACAAAGAGAATGAGAGAGAGAGAGAGAGAGAGAGAGAGAGAGAGAGAGAGAGAGAGAGAGAAGGAGG